TCGGCCGTCGGCACCTTCGCAGTTTGGAACGAGCGTGTTTGACGCCTTGTTTACGGCACAGGAAAAAGAAATGAACCACTCAGCACCGTTATTTCCCGAACCAGGCTCCGATGACCCGACCACGTGTTGCGCATGCCCGCCCACTGACTTTCGCGACGTGCGTTATTTGTGTGCCGGGGGTTTGGATGGAAGAAGAGGGGGCGTGACCAAGCGATAACTTGGTCCAGAGGAATGAAGGCCCTCACTTCGGTGCTGGCCTCGTTTGGAGCGTCACGCTCCCTGGTTTGGGTCCAAAGGACAATCAGCACGTTTGGTAAGGAGCCGACCTCATTGGCGTTCCTGCTGTGAGTTTCTTTTTCCCTCTCCATCCCTTTTAGCCTCCATTTAACCACGATCTCATTTCATAGCGTAATATAATTTTATGGCATAATTTTTCTTGTTGCTTAGTAGCCGGTTGGAAGCTTACCTGAAAGATGTCCATCCGTTGCTGGTAGCTCAGCCGGCACGCGACTGTTGTAGTTATTTTCCTTTTCCTTTATGTATTGCGGCACAGTAGCTGAGGTGTTTCCCACCTCTAGCTTACGTGTATAATGATGACATACATCGAAACGCAAGTCTTCAACGATTGCATTAAGCGGCGCACGAACGACGGAGAAAGAAATCACCGTATTGTACATTTTCCAGTAGTTACCCGCATTCCTCTGCAAATCCGGATCAAGAGATTTCCGGAGCTTCAAGCGCACTAAGCCGTTCTTACCGCGGCTTGCTTGTAACGTTTACTAACGGCTGCAGTCTGCTGAACAATGCTATGAGTTGTGTTAATCAGACGTATTAGGCCTTGCTGTAACATGGTTTAACTTCCACGTAACCACCCATGAAGTAGTACGCAGCTGCTAATTGTGTTTCCGCGGTGATCGACCATCATATGCTCGCGGTGGCGTGCGGCTACCCATAAGGTCGTCCGCGTATGGGAGACTCGTGAGCACCTATCGTTGTGATGATGGCCTATGTGAGCAGTTATGGAGTTCGATTCACCTCAGATGCTGCGAAACGCTCTTGGGCATAGTCTGTCGCAGTGCATTGAGCCGTTGCTTGGACTAGTTGCCACAGGTCCGCAAACACATACATCGTCTGCTGTCCCTGCTCATGGACGATTTCAACTTACCTCGACTACAGTGGCCCAAGACTGAACTTCTCCTCGGCCATTTGGAAGTCGAGCAGTTCGCGGAGATGATATTTGAACCTGGGTCCAAATCACACAACAACCAGCTGATGCGCATAACTACTCGCGCGACTTCATCCTGCTTAAACCTGCTATTTACGGAAACTGAGCGACGTTCATGACCCCCAGGTCCCAGAGCCCCTTGGAGCAAGTGACCACATGGTCATAATATCTAGTTTGGAACTGTCGTTGCCGTATTTACTTCCGCTGGAACCGGCTTATAAATATTGGATGGTAGACTCTAATAGCGTCAAGCGGGCCCCGAGTCAGATCCACCGGCTGTTATCAAAATTTCATCTGTTGAAACCTGTCGGACTATCATGAAATAGGGAGTGGAATCGTTGTGCTCGCTGCTTGTAGACTCAAGTATCGTAAAGTTCGACAAGGAACACTGGAACACACAAACTGTGGCACAAATTCGTGTTGTCTGGCTCAGACGAAGATTGTGAGACGTGCAAGACACAGGGAAGTCTCCGCAACAACACGAAAATACAAAAGCGCCAAAACTTTGAAGAGCAACTTGCAACCCAGTCGAAGACTGCTCCCAAGTGAATATCCGCCAACGTGCAGTGACGCCTGAGACCTGCATGCAATGTGCCATTGTTGCAGAGCTGACATATACAGCCCCTAAACGCGAGCACAGCATGTGCGGCCGTATTTGCGGCGTACTTCGCCTCGGTATTTGCAAGTGACTAGGTCTGTGTACCGAGTTCGACGGGTATCGGTCCTACTGAACTAGACCGGTCGAAGTGTAGCACTGAAGATGCTGGTAAATCCTGACGGGACGAAACCTGTGGGGCCAGATGGAATCCATCCGCTGATCCTCAAGTCATTATCGGCTATCATCTCGCCTTCCGTGGCTGAGCTGTTCAACAGGTCACTATCCACTGATTCATTACCGAGGGACTGAAAATGTTCAGTGGTAAAGCCAATACCGAAAGGTAGTGACCCAAGCAAATTGGATAACTATCGGCCGATCTGCTTGACCGGTGTTTTGGCAAGACACTTGAAAAGATCGTGAAGGATGGTCTACTGTATCTTATCGAGTCGAACAGCTTCTTGTCGCCCTCACAGCATGGTTTCGGCAAAGTTCGCTCCCACATCACCAACCTGCTGTTACAATGAACGAACGGTTGCAAGCGCTGAACCAAGGCAAGGCAATCGACGTAATTTACATTGACTTCAATAATGTTTTGGAAAAGGCAAAATATGAGGTGCTCCTCAACAGGACGAGGGTGTGCGGTGTCGGTGCCACGTTGACTGTTGGATTAAGATTTTACTTGTTGGTCGAAAATGGACAGATTAGCACTGGTTGTCACCCTATTTCGGCTATGTTATGTACCCTCAGAGTGCAAAGTTTTCCACCAAGATTGGCAGGGACCGCCTCCTGCGCTGACCCCTGGTGAGGACCAGCTGGAAGTTATACGAAAATGCAAGCACTTAGGTAGTTGTATCAGCGCCTTTGGAATTAAGGACAAGGGCACAAACCGTAAAGCAAAAGTTCGATGCGCTATGTATATATATATATATATATATATATATATATATTTGCAACAGCCTACGAATAGACATAGAGCCGCCAGAAACCATGGGGCTCAAAAGAAGGTACAGAAATAGTAGAGGAAAACACAACACAACACATCAAAGTCCATGGTTTCGTCAGAGGGCGAGATACTACCCGGTTGCCCAAGCAGAAGTAGGATGTTGACTTAAGGAACACCACCCCGAGCCTTTGGCTGAATAGCCTGACTGCAAGGCAGCGGAGCGAATTCAGGGAACTGGGCCCATTGGGAGCAGGTGATAGCTTGCTCAGTTCATACGCCTTTCGTTTGTTCCTTTGTCAAACAGGGGCTCAATGCTCCCCAGAATTACAGCACAAAGTTGCTGGAATACAACGCTTCGCCAGGATGAAGCAAGGGGCAGTGACTTTATTTAGTGGTGAGTCACGTCCACCACGTCACAGTGTTGTAAACCGACATATTTGGTTTTTTAAAGGGAGAACGCTTGCCAGGCGAAAATTCACCACGTCCCGGAACACTGCCGCCGAACCATTTGCTGAAACGGGAAAATCCCGAACCACTCAGCTGGCACCACGAGGAGATTGTTCGGCAAGCCAGCGGAACCTTGACCGCCTCTCCACGTGGTCTGTGGAGGCCCACCTTCCGATAAATCCGGTCAAGTCGCAAGGCAAGAAGCTAGGTACGTGTGAACTTAGTAGAACTACAGTGTGTTTGGTCACCTGTTGCATCCTCCGGCTTTTTTGAACGACCTGGGTGTGATCTAATGCTTCGGTCTGAAGTCCATGGACAACACGAATAGACATTTCCATAACGGACTTCATATGCTTTGGGCGCTCAAGCGCCCGTAGGTAATGCTACTCGTTTCTTCACCTCAGCCGTAAGACCAATGCTGGAGTACTGCTAACTTGCACCCGGTGCGAGGTAGAAAGGGTTGAGCGGATTGAGGCTAGGACCTTATACCGCATCTGGTCATCGAGTGCGGGTTGATCTCATCATGACGCACGGGATGGTACATCTTGGTGACTACCCAATATTACGGCCGCTGCTGCGTATGCGCACACCAAGCAGCACACAACGACACCGGTACAGGCTTGTAGTACCGGAGTTGAAGCGGGTCGTCCACCAAGTCTGTTTCGTACAGAGCGGCGAATATATTGAACAACCTGTCTAGGCAAACTCGGTGTCGGAATGCGATAATCCTAGACAAAAATTTTGTTGATGTGTTATATCGCGAACGCTCTCCAACATAACAGGTTTTTGTAACTGAAGGCTTTTGGATGCAAATACACAGAGACATCTCTTCTTACTGCTTTCATCCAGTATTCAGTAATCAGTCTTTAAATCAGACGTACGTATTGTCTTATTTAGTTTGATAATCAGTTACGAATTTCTTGGGCGATACTTCTGTGCTCAGCACCACCATGATACTCTGTGAGACACCAAGCACTGTCGGGCTTCGAAATACTCTCCGCCTATTTGGAATACAAGCTGCAAGTGCATTTGGGACCACGACTTATTTGAAAGTCCAACTTCCGCCATTCTGAGCACGCAGACCGCATCCCAGGTGAGAGGTTTTGGAGCTGCTCTCTCACATCACTGTACTCCACGATCGACGGCAGCTTTGCACAATTCAGACAAAGACAGCCGCAGTTGTGAATGGAATAATGGAACTAGTGCTTAACTACTGACACTGTGATCCCTATGCCAGTGAGTTCCGAGCGAAACCACTGACAGTAATAACCGTAGTCTTCTTGTGCGCATCAGACAGTCTTGTTTGCTTTCCCTGAAAATTTCTTAAAACTGAGAAATTCATAGTTTTATTGGAGATATGTTGCAAAATTGTGTCTTAAAAATATTGAACCTGTGGTAAGCTGTGCGATTCTAGCTAACCGCAGCTGTGGATTACATCGAGCGAATACAATAGCTGTAAAGTCTCTCGTTTCAGTGGTTCATTGGTTTAGCCGTCTAACCGTGACGTTTCTTTAAATCATTGTGATTGCCTTATGTTGGGAGTATATAGGACTCTTTAAATCGCCCTGCCTGGAGGTGAGGCACTTGTATGTAAGAAAGTGGAAAGCGGGTCATACAAGATACTTTGGTTTGGTAGACAAATCTCGCAGGTGTTATAGTTGATGAATGGGCCTAGATTATGGTTTACTATCACCTGCGGTTTATTACGCTAGATCAGATCAGTGGCTGCTAAATCTTCATGCACCCGGTAAAGCTTTCATCAAAATACCCAGACAGCAGTAACTCACCTTAGGGCGTTTTCCAGATTTAGTGATAGGTGTTACAGGCCAATCACCAGGCGGGTCGTTGAATTCCATTATTGAAAGAATATGCCAAATATCTGCGTAAGTAACCACAAATCAAGCGCTCGGAAATAAATGACAACTGCGAGCCAATTAGCTTGGTTAATCTAGTGGATTATCAGGTGGTCGAGTGTGATGATTGATTAAGCACCACCTTGTTCGAATGTGATGCTTAATCACCTGATGATCACCTGAACCGTCCGCTCAGAATACCAACAGCGAAAGGTGCGTATGGATCTTTATCGGTCCGAACCTCACGAAAAGATTGAGGAATACCAACGAATGCCCAGTAAACTGCGCTTTAGAGTGCCAACATGATCACGTCATAATGCTGAATGGCTAGGTAACTAATTCATAAAGAAAAGTACTGGATTGAAATGATACCGATTCCAGGTTAAGATTTGACCGGAACCATAATTTAGCGCTGTCATTCAGGAAGCTGGATTCCGGATTGTTAAACTAAAAATGAAAGTTGAAGTTGCCGTAGGTGAACTGGCCGAAACTAATGCTCCGAAATCACCAATTTCTCTTAACTTGCTTAAGATTGGGAGGCTGGAAAATGTGCGGTGTGAGCGGCAAGGACCGACACAGTTAGTAAAACCAAGGTCAATTATCCTGGAAAATCCAATCATTAGGCAAAATAAGCCAAAAGCAAAAGCTGCTTTTGCCAGTATCCCATAATAGAAACTAGGGAAGTTTCATTTCGAACTCTCATGCGAATGGCTGATAAGGCCCATCAGCATATGAAAGTGCAGAGATTGCTCTTGTTCTTGCTTCATTCCATTGCAGAAGCAAGAAGAGACAATCCAACGTCGAAGTGCCGTGGGTCGCTTCACTTACCGGCACAAGAACTGGACGCTCGTTAGGCAGAAGCCTCTATCGTCCATCTGACCTGACCTGACCTGAGGACAGGGCAGGACAGGATCCAGGGACGAAACAGGCTTATGCTTAACGAGCGTCCCGTTTCGTGTACCAGTAGGCGAAAAAGAGCCCCCAGCACTGCGACTTGATAGAATGTTCACGATACTGTAGTGGTAAACAACTGAAGGAAGTGCAAGACGACCAACACACTTTCATGAAGTCACCAACTCTCAAGGAAATTCTGGGAACCGAGCCAGCCCAAGTTTGTCTAGGCCATGTTCAAATTCCTCTACATTTTTGCTTCCCAACAGAGCAGAAGGAAATTTATACCAACTAGGTACAACCCAGGCTGTGAAGAACCTGGCTGTTTAGCCTAGCTCTGTGCTCCATCAATTTCATACAATGGTCCCACAAGTTGTCTGATGTAGCTATTTCAAACGGATTGGTGGGCCTGAGACCACTGAGACCCTTCATGATTTTGAAGGTCTCTTAAGTTACCTCTCAATCTGCGTCTTCTCATTGAGAACAAACCCAAGTTAGCTATCGGATCTTCATATGAGAACACACGCTGAGCTTCTATCATTCGAGTGACCCCTCAGTACACATCCTCAATACAAATACTATATTTCTGCAGCTAAGGTGCCTGAGCCTGGACACTGAATTCCCGATGCGGTCTGACCTCAGCTTTGAACAAAAGGAGAAAGACCTCTGGCTTGGTCCAACTCACAGCTCTTCTGAGAGGAAATAACTGTCGCGCTTTATTAGCCGCATGCCTGCACTGCGCCGAGGGCTTCAAGTCACTCGTCATGATGACACCTAGATCACGTGCCTCGGTGACATGCTGCAGTGGTAGGGACCCATAAGATGTATGCACACTAAACTCCTCATCACGCGTGGTTAGGATTTGACATTTTGCTGGTGTTCAGCGGTAAGTCACAAAAATGTGATCAATTAACATAACGAAGCCCTGTCTCTCCTGTTATCAAGCTTCAAGTCATCTGCAAACACGTAGGAGGGCTTTTTGTGTAGTTTCGTCGCGGTTAGACACAGGCAAACAGCCACCACACAGCCAGGAAAGCGCTAGACGGCCCTTTCGTCCTATTGGGACTCGTCAGTAGCGCGTACCCACCGAATCCTGCCGGATTCGAACCCAGGACCTTACTCTTGCGAGTCAGCGACTTATGTCACTTAGCCGTGAGCGACGGCAGCGGACCGCTATGACTGATATCTAACCGCGATATAGCGCGGCTTATCCTCCACTGTCTTGCATGTTGTGAATGTGCAGATGACAGGGCTGGCCACCTCGATTGGTGGCGGCTTGCAAAGGAAGTCGTTGCTCTGGAGGCCAGCCCCGTCATCTGCATATTCACAACATGCAAGACAGTAGAGGATGAGCCGCGCTATATCGCAGTTAGATATCAGTCATGGCGGTCCGCTGCCGTCGCTCACGGCTAAGTGACATAAGTCGCTGACTCGCAAGAGTAAGGTCCTGGGTTCGAATCCGGCAGGATTCGGTGGGTACGCGCTACTGACGAGTCCCAATAGGACGAAAGGGCCGTCTAGCGCTTTCCTGGCTGTGTGGTGGCTGTTTGCCTGTGTCTAACCTCGACGAAACTAAATAAAAACCTGATAAATATTTTTGTTCGTCGCAATCAGCCGACAATTCAGATATGTCGACCAGCTATCCGGAAAAGCACCAGACGGCCGTTTCGCCCTATTGGGGCACAGCAGTGGTGCGCATCCTTCGGTCCTCTGCGGAGGATCCAACCCATGACTGCTAGTGGCTCTTGCCAACTAGCCCGCAGCTTATGCAACTGCGCCATGGAGGACGGTAGCCAACTATCATGAATTGTTAGCTGAATGCGATATAGCCCGACGCATCCTCCACTGCCATGCAGACACCTGCCATGCAGATGACAGCGGTCGGCCTTCCGGCGTCAGGACTTCCCGGTTACGGCAGCTATGAATCGACATAGCTTTTCCGGATAGCTGGTCGACATATCTGAATTGTCGGCTGATTGCGACTAACAAAAATACTCACCAAAATCCTTCCATTCATAAGTAACCTGATAAATGCCCTACTACTTACAAATATAGGAGGGGTCTTCAAGTAGAGGGACCAAAAGATTTATAAGCATGAGAAATAACAACGGACCTAGTACTGATCCCTAGGGAAGACCATTATGAGCAGTGCCTGTGCTCCCAGTAACGTCACCAACCCTGACACAATATGTTCTGCCATAAAGGAATGCAGGCAGCCAAGAAAGCAGCTGAGGAGGGATTCCAAACCAGGTAAATTTTCCTAACAAGAAATGGTGATTTAACCAGTCAAAAGCTTAACTGAAATTAAGGTAACACACTTCTCCTAGTTTACCTTCATCAATACATCGTTATTTCCTTGAGGAACCACAACAGTTGATAAGGCATGACTTTTTCCTGATGAAGCCATGCTGTTCTGCTCCGAGCAAGTTATTAGCAGCCAGATGTTTAAAGGTACGATTCCTAATGATCTTCTCTTGACACTTGAGAATAATGCTAGTCAGACTAACAGGCGAAAGTTATTGGGTGAAGATTTAGAACCACGCTGGTAGATCGCCAATACAACTGCTTCCTTGCAACCCTGTGGTATCCTGCCCACACGAAGAGACATCATACAACTGAAGACTAGGAAGCTGGAGTATGTCAGTAATCTGCTTGACAATAGTAGGATGCACATTATCGGGGCCATGTGATTTGCATGGATTCAAGTCCTCCAGTACAGAGAAGATCCGAAGTAATTATGACGATTCGTCCATTTTTCACTCGCTTACGCCATGCGACGGCAGCCAAACTCATTCAAATAGCCACATCACCTTCAGAAAAGCGCTGAAGGACGGTTTCTTCGATAGGCGCTGGCCATTAGCGCGCATCCACCGGATTCTGCTAAATTCAACTCCATGATTTTATGCTCGGGATCCCGTGACTTATGCTACTGAGTCACTGGTGACAGTGGCAGACCATTTTGACTGAATGTTAGTTGCGACCTAGCATAGCTCATCCTCCATGATCACACATGCTATGAAGGTGCAGAGGATGTGGTGTGACCCATGAGTTCCTAATTCCCTTCCCCTACGTCCCAGAAGTGAAATGCTTACTGGTTGGTTCGGTGTAGCTGTACGACAGTGGGCACGCTCTGTTTTCGGTTCAGGGAACATCTTCCTTGCGAAGGTAACGATGAATTGGTCTCCGCTGTTAGCAGACAAGATGAATAAGCAATCGCAGACAATCAACGACAGCGTCCTAGGGCGTGGGGACTTCTGGGCTGGCCACCTGGTTATGCATAAAATACCACAAGAGCTCTTAAGATGCCAATGTGACCGTCTATACGGTCACAGACCACTAATTTCTGCGACCAGAACTAACTACTCGACGGAGGACAGATGAACTAACTGGATGGCCACCGGCTTCTGTGAAGGCGTATGAGCCACCTGGCTGTCACTGATCTTCGTGCACTACGGTGAGTTCGACGGTCCTGAAAATTTCTTCTGGACTCTGCTTTGCTACATTCTGGCTGCTTGGACACACTAAATAGTTTGTTTCGACTCGAAAGCCGTGCTCCGATCATCTTGGTAGCCAGTTTCCGAAAGTATATAGTGAAGGCCAATGGCCCCGCTGCCTTGCGAGTCAGGTTTTTATGAACCAGGGTCCCTGATGAGTTCCTCTAAGTCAACTCAATTCCTCGGGCTGAGCAAGCAGAAAAGTTACATGCCGACACATATTTACCAATAGTTCAACGACTTTCCGGTCACTCTCTCTGCTCTTTGCCAATGCTACCCTGGACCGAGATGTTGACGGTCGAACATGCTGTATCGCACTCTACCGCACCATAGTTCGGTTACTTTATTCTACGTTTGTTAAACTCATTTATCCTTGGCAATCCCTCTCTAGTTCAGAGTCCCCAACACCGTGCCGACTTAGGCGATTGTTCTCGCCATACAGATAAGGAATTTAGGTCCGAGGGTGCGCTGCCAAGTTCCACTGGCAAGCTTTTTTGAGCGCCCCTTCCTAATTCAAGTTGGCGGCTTTCAAAGTCCAGACGCTGATGCAGATCGGATCACAAGCAGTCCTTTCTCGCACGCTTATGACTACTGCCACTGACATCTGCTGCCTCCCTGAAACGCCATTATAGGACCCCAACAGGATGCCACGACTCGTTTCACCGTCTGCGGGTTCCGTTTGCACTTTTACATTGCGCTTCTCTGGAGACGCAATCGCTAGTCACCGGTCTTGC